TCCTGCTGATCAAAGAAAGGAAGTAAGGCAGCTATTTTGGCTTTTTTGCCTTCCTTTGCTTCCCTCGGAAGCTTTGATCTTCTCTTCACTGTACTTTCTTCCTTCTATTCATCTTCAAAGACATATTTTAGAATTCAGTTTTTCTAGTTATTTTACTAGTTATCCAGAGCTTTCCGCTGTGATTTAAGGAAATAGGCAGCCAAACATGCCAGAATTTGGTGCGTCATCTCCACAACTATTCAGTACAGCAGTCATCCTGAGGATTCAGAACAGACGTTGTTGGTTTTGAACTTTGCTTTGAGGTCTTGATGAATCAGAGTTCAAAGGAGGCATGCTAACTACTTCTACTGAAAGTATTTTACCAGAGAACAGCATCATCTCGTCACTTCCCAGGGCACACTTACTGCATGGTCCTGTAGGACATAGAGTCAAGGCTTTAAGTGAACTAATTGATCATTGCAGGAGAACGAGATTTTAACAGAACAAGAAGAACTGCTGGCCATGGAGCAGTTTCTGCGGAGACAGATTGCCTCGGAGAAGGAAGAAATAGATCGCCTTCGAGCAGAAATAGCTGAAATACAAAGGTAAAAGGGAGACCGCTTACATCAGATCTCCCACCAGGAGAGCACTCTTTGATTAAAAGTACCTGTATGCCCTTCTGAAACAGTCCTCTGAACTATGCTTAAAAGCTTACCCTGTGAACATCACATTTGAAAGCCACCTGTTTTTACTGAAATCTCAGCAACTTTGGACCTTTCAGAATATTTTCTGTTAGTGTAACGATGGCATTACGATCTAAAGGAAACAGACCCTGTGCACTAAAAAAAAAATCCCTCTAGGAAATCACTGGTTTATTAAATTAAGCCTTGAAGGGAAATGCTGATTTTGTTCTTACAACCGTTGCAGATTATTCAGCGGATGTAAGTTAACTCTTTTATGTTGCTGCAGTTCTGGCAAACTTGAGGAATTGTTTAAATCCGAGTCTGTCATTGCTCTTTCAGTCGCCAGCAGCATGGCCGAAGTGAAACTGAGGAATATTCTTCCGAGAGTGAAAGTGAGAGTGAAGATGAGGAGGAACTGCAGGTCATCCTGGAAGACTTGCAGAGGCAGAATGAGGAACTGGAGGTAAGATTTGAGTCAGTATTAACTGGTACTCTTCTCCTTCGTGGTTACTTGATTTAGTCTGTGCAGAGATGTTTGCACGTGTGCAAACTGGTGGCTTTGCAGCTATTTCGCCTAGGCATGAAACCCACGTGCTCCATTGTTTTTAAATCGCTGTTGCGTGCAAGTCCATGCTGCTGTCTGGGGTAGCCGCAAAGCTTCATTGTGCAGTGCTGAAAGGCCCCCCTCGCTACAGCAGTCTTTTGTCAGAAGGAGCCCTGACACTTGTTTTTCCTTCCTTAAAAGATCAAGAACAATCACCTGAACCAAGCGATTCACGAGGAGCGAGAGGCCATCATAGAACTGCGAGTGCAGCTTCGACTACTGCAGCGAGCTAAATCAGAGCAGCAGGTGCAGGAAGAAGAGGAGCCAGAAAAACGCGGGGGTGTTTCTCAGCAGCAAAGAGACAGTGTCCTGGAGACAAAAGCAGCCAAAGAGCAGCCAAAGGCAAGCAAGGAGCAGCAAGTCAAGCCATCGCCAAGCAAAGACAGGAAAGAAACTCCAATTTGATCCGGCTCCTTGGATATGCATCAAATCAACCGAACTGTGCAAATTACTGTAATTTGAGTCAAACTGCACAAATTATTGCTGGCTGTGTACATTCTGTAAAGAAACTTTTCTTTTAAGCCCTGGAGACTTTTGTCTCTAATACTTGTGGCATCTACTCATCAGACTCAGGTGAGTTTGCAGAGGCCAGAAGAGTTTTCCAGTTAGTATCAGATTATTTCAAGACTGGTTTCCTTCAGGTGATTTAAAATAATTCAGTAACAGTTTTATTTTTAAACCAAAATCATTATTTACATTCATTGGCGCAGAATTGGGAGATCTCATTTTCAGTAAATAAACAAACCCCCACCCACACTTATTATTTGCCTTGTGAACCTATTCATCCTCATTCACCATTATTTCTGCTTACTAACCTAGTCACTTCTTGCTTGTGCCTTTGATACCTTTCTGATGCAGATTATATACAAAGGAGCTTTAAACTTATTCTGGGTTGGCTGAGAAGTTGGGAGACTGCGGGGTATCATGTTTACCTGACATGCCCTTAAGCTTCATTTTTTGTTCCGAGATGTACTGAATAAATGTAAAAACTTGAGAGATGTTATTTATGTCCCTGTACGACGGAAATGTTCATCAAGAGCTGTCCGTGTCTTTTAGCGATGTAGGTAACCCACTCACGCATTTGGAAGCCACCATCCTCATACCCGTTTCAGACGGGCTGCGCTCACACTGCTGCCATACAGCCAGCAGCTTTGTCCTCATCCATTTTAAATGTTTCAGTCCCTCGGAGAAAGCCGCTGGCGGACGCTTTGGGCAGCGACGGGGATGGGCTGCGTCACGTCAGAGCGCTCCGCCTGACCGAGCAATACAGCACTGCCCTCTGCGGAAAGGCAGGGCCTTGCACTTCCCAGATGAGCCTGAAGAGCGAGGGCCCTGGGAGGCACTGGGGGCTCAGCAGTAGCCTCCACATCTGTTGTTCCACCTGGGACTTGCTTTTAGTTTGGCTGTTTCATGGCTTCTAACCCATGGAAGCCTCCAGCCACGCTGGCGTTTAAGGGCCATTTAATGTTTCAGATACACTCATGAGACCCATCCATCCACCCATCCATCCACCGACAGACAGCAAACTCCACCGGGTGCACATAGGCTATCTTATTTTTTAATCTGGATATTTATTTTCAGCACCTGTTGGATGTGGTTGTATTCTTTATCTATTGCACTGTTGCGAATCATTGGCCATGATTTGATTTTGTACAAATAATGCTTTGATATGTTATAGAAAAACAGCATAGTATTTTTTTAAAATTTGGGAAAAAAAAAATTTATAAACACAGAAAATGTGGTCAGATGACAAATGTAAACTAAAGCATTCTCCCTCGCCTTCGTTACATACATTTTATATTTGCTGGCAATATTTAAACTTTTTTGTTTGTTGAATTCACACTAATTCCTATTGAATCGTCATGGATTTTTCTAATGTTCTTCAGACAAATCTCTTAATATTGGTTAACTTTTATTTTGTTAGGATTGTATTTATCAAGCAAATAAATTCAACAGCCATTTGAAAGTAGTTTCTAATTTATCTATTTCATAATGCAAGTGGGGTAGGCTGCCTGCAGTCGAGAAGTTTATATGAAAAATAAATTCAGGCTTTCTTTAATAGCTCTCCTCTGAAAGAACACTGTCTGCAATTGAATGTCAGAGAAAGCTTCCATAACTCAGCTGAAGATCAAGTTTGAGTTGATAAAATGAAAGATTTTAAAGACTTTGCTTCTCGATTACTCCTAGAGATTTCAGTGGCGAAGGTGAAAACCATCCTCTTTGTCACATCCTTACTTCCAACACACGAACAGCGCTCTTTCTCCTGCAGCCTTACAGTGCGCTTGAAGGGTGGCGCTGCTGAAGTCTTAAATGAGGTGGAATTGCTGCTCCGGCCGTAATACAGCAACTGTAACTAGAAATTTAGTTTCAAAACGCCTGAAAGGGGTTTCTTTGAAATTTTCTTTCACGTTCTTTCAAATGATATAGCTAATGACAAACGCAGTTATTGATAAAACCCCTGTAAAGCCTGTGGTTAAAGTC